TTATGTTAGAAGGGTTCAAAATCTGGTTGCATTTGAAATCGATGAAGAAAATGTCATTCATTGTTTATGAACTTTCTTCTATTTATGTTAGTTTGCTGTTAGGTTATGACTCTGCTCTATCTCACTCTATCTATTTCACTAAACCTCTATATGTAAATGGGCCATCGTGAAGGTTAAAGATTTGAAATTTGCAATGCCAAATCTGCAGCACTTGCCATGACCATTGTGCTCTCCACAGTGCTCCAATAACTAGGGCATTATGTGCATCGTCTTCGTCATGCATAAACACTAATATGTGATATTGGCTTTCAGTTATTGTTCTATAAGATTTCTCATTCTTCAGTTTGCATGTGATGGAAATTTTCTTTGTTCAGTAGCCTATGCTTCAGACGGCAAAATCAGTCAAGTAAAGTGCCACTTGTATGGTCTGGTGTGTAATCTATGCGAGGATGATGTTCTTGGTCTGATCATCATTATAGATGATATGGTTTGATGGTCAGGGTTAGAGGCGTCAAAATATATTAACATATGATAATTTGGGTAGACATAAATGTGATTGTATGCCTTTGTGCTGTGAAGTCTTATACTGCATTGTTTTTAAGTTTTAGTAGCTTTTAGTGGATATTGGTTGTCCTAATTTTACATTTCATGGACAATGAAATTGACTCCTTCCTGCTGTATCCAGCAAGTGGGGAGATCACTTTTCTGTCTTGGATTGCTGATTCGTTATGGCAGCTGTCTGCTATCAAGCTCCAGTAATAAAACCATCGATGTACGAAAGAGTCTCAACTTGTTTACAAGGTACCTTTCCATGGAGGATTTCGTTGTCAAGGTTCGATCATTGCAGGTAAGACTTTGTCATGATCATTCATGTTTTGACTGACTGATTTGAATGTTAAAATTTGTTGATGTTTTATTGTTATTCTTGTAGGCATTGGGGTTTGTTCTGATTGCAAGGCCTGAGCATATGTTGGAAAAGGATATTGGGAAGATACTGGAGGGGACGTTATCTTCTGCAGTTGATACTCGTCTTAAGGTAATGGTTTTCACCCTGATATATATAATATATCTGGTGCTTATTGGTGCGGATGCTAAGTTATTCTGGTTATCAGATTCAAGCATTGCAAAACATGTTTGAGTATCTTCTAGATGCTGAGGGCCAGATGGGAACAGATAAGGCCAGTGATAATGTGTCTAATTTATCAGTTGGAGCTGGGCAAAGTGTTCCTGTTGCTGCTGGTGCCGGGGATACGAACATATGTGGGGGTATAGTTCAATTGTATTGGGACAATATTTTAGGCAGATGTCTGGATTTCAATGAACAAGTTCGACAATCTGCACTAAAGGTCAGAACCCATCTTCTATAATGGTAGAGATTTTATGCTTCTAGGAATAACTAACAAGTAAGAACTGTTGAGTCTCCAGCTTATCAGCTATAATGGAAGAAACTGTGTTTTGCTCTGACGCTTTCTTTTTTAAATTTATGTTTTGATGTTTGGATTCGTCAGGTGAGTGCAATGGTGTGTCATTTTATGAAATGTTTTGCAAAAAAAGATTATGGTGAATCTTATTGGTGTTGGCTTTCATTTTTTTTTTTTTTGGGTATCTGGAGTTAATTATGTGATTTTCAGTTATGTCATGTACTGCATCATAATCATGACGATAATCACAAATACACATTTATTTTGAAAAACTTAGCTTGGGGTGGAACTAGTTTAGATTTTAGTTTCTTTAATTGAACGCTAAGAATTATGGATTTGCTGAAAATGCAGATTGTTGAAGTTGTGCTGCGTCAAGGTCTTGTTCATCCTATCACCTGCGTTCCATACCTTATAGCACTTGAAACAGATCCTCAGGAATCTAATGCAAAGTTGGCTCACCATCTTCTGATGAACATGAATGAGAAGTAATTTCATACTAAAGGTTTCTTATGATGTATTACGTGTGAAATTGGTTGTATTAGCTAACAAAACCATCTTTTCAGGTACCCTGCATTCTTTGAAAGCCGATTGGGGGATGGGCTTCAAATGTCATTTATCTTTATGCAATCCATTTCTGTTAGTCCTGAAAATAGTAGCCATAAGGCTCAATCTCGGATTCCTATTTCTGGAAAGGGGAAATCCGAGACTGACTCACTTACTCAAGCAAGACTTGGGGTTTCTCGAATATACAAGCTTATCCGAGGAAACCGGATATCAAGGAACAAGTTTATGTCCTCAATTGTCCGAAAGTTTGATAATCCAACCTGGAGCAAATCAGTAATAGCTTTTTTAACGTGAGTACTTTGTGATAATTGTTCTTGAGCTTTTGTACACAAGTTCTTGGATAACCTTATATCTTTCTTTTCAGATACTGCACAGAGGTCCTTGGATTACTTCCATTCACCTCGCCTGATGAACCTCTTTATTTAATCTATGCTATCAACCGAATAGTTCAAGTGAGGGCAGGGCCACTTGAAGCGAATTTTAAAGCATGGAATGTGAGGTTTTCACGAAGGGAGTGTCAGAGTACACCTTATGGGAATGGAATTTGGCAACAGGGGCCAAATGAACCAACTCTTACAACCCAAGTGATGCCGATGGACTTGAATGGAACATTTTATCAAAACATAGGTGATCAACTTAGTTCCAATGGCATGAGATCAGTGGATTTAAATGGAACAGCTCAACAACAGCCATGTGATGTTTCATCAAATAATGGTAGCTCGGAGCTGCATGAAGATTTTTCAAATTTTTGTGGCATCTCAGATGATGACATGGAGAAAATTCAGGTAACTTAAGAAGCTACTGAGATTTTTATTGATGATGTTAACGAGTTTATGATGAATAATGTGATAATTACATATGATGACCTTTATCTGTTTGTTTACACTGTCTGAACAATGTTAGGGCTGGAGACTAGCATTGGGCTTTATTTATTATTCTGATGCTTAACGAAGATTTTGTTCCTGATGCTTATGCAGACTGACTGTTTGTCAGGGATTGCATTGCAGCTTCTTTTGAAGCTAAAGAGACATCTGAAAATCATGTATAGTCTCAATGATGCTCGATGTCAGGTACAATAATAGATAGGCATTTCAGTCACTATCTTGTTTTTTTTATTATGGTGCACTGGAAGCTAATATCCCCCTCCCTTTTTGGGTACTGATGCTATTGTTCTCCTCAGGCCTATAATCCGGCTGAACCCCCAAAACCAGGAGAAGTCCTTTCCAGACAGAATATTGCCTTTAATATCAATGAATGTCATTTTAGTCTGCCTACAACTCCGCAAGAATTGCTTCAAAGATACCAGGTATTGTAGCTTCAATGAAATCCTTTTTTTCTTTAAATTGCTTGCTAGCTTTTTGCAGGCTGGTCAGCTTGCTGAGATTTTGACCTCTTAAGCCACCATTTCTCTGTTACCAGGAATTTAAGAATGCATTGAAGGAAGACACTGTTGATTATTCGCTTTACACTGCAAATATAAAAAGAAAGCGCCCTACTCCCAGAAAAGTTCGGAAATCTGGATACATGACTGGCGCAGGCGGAGATGATGATGAGGATGATGACGGCGGTGATTGGACTGGTGGCATACGTAAGTTAAATGGTAGTGGCCGCAAGGTTAACCTTAGAAGCAGTAGGCAGTATTGATAGCTGTATGTACATGATAGGTAGGCTAACCTGTACATTAAATAGGAATTGGGAAAAAAAAATAGATATAAGATAGGTTGAGCGCCAACAGAATAGAAATCAGGAGACACAATGTAGGAAAGCAAAGGGCCCTGTAATATTCCTCTTCAATAGAGGATGCATCATTCTTGTCGGGTCTCCCTTTTGTAATTTGCTTAAAGGTGGTTGTTTGCATTCTTTTGTTGATCAAAATTCGTTTTTGGATCATCCCCATCTCTTTCTAGTCTTATTTTCAATCCTTTCAACTCCTGTCTAAGGTTCCGTTTGACGATCTTAGTTTTGCTAAAAGTTCTGTGACCACCGAACTTTCGGATTAACTTTCAAAGCTCAAGCTCACAAGTTTGATCTTTTTGGTAACACAACAGTGTAGGTGGTAGGTTGTTGCATATATAGGTCTTACCGTTGGTCTAATTTGTAATTTACCAAGAGGTTGGCCGGGTGCACATGTAAAGAAAGTCTCATAATGTACGATATCAATTGTGGGACAATCCTCTCAAGAATTTGTTAAAAATATAAAATCTTGCCGTCGTATGTTGTACATCGTTTACTGATAAAATTGGCTCAAATGAACGTATTGCAGGTACAAAGCAAATGTTAGTCAGATGGCTGGCGAAATTATTAAGCCGAAGGACAAATACTCCGAACCGCAATCTTCTACATCTGACGTTTTTCTTATACATATTTTCACCTCAGCTTTTTTCTTTTGGGTATAAACATCAACTGCATTTTCGTAACAGTAAAGCTATTTTAAATTTTAATTTTCAATATTAAACAACAAAATATGGGATGAAAAAAATCTTCTAATTATCAGTTTTAAAAAATAATGATTGAAATAGTATTTTTAAAGTCATATTAAAGCTAAACAATGGAACTGGTTCGCTGAGTTGTATGCAAGATATACACTTATTCTCTCTTTTTTCCCCAAGCAAACCATCCATTGATAAGTTTTACAGGCTAATCTAGATACAAATCGACTCAAGCCCCTGATTAAGAAGTGATTTTTTTTAATTACAATTATTAGCAAGGCTCTAGGATATTGAAAAATGAAAACTTTGCGATGACAGCCATTTTGCGCTCGCCCGCGAGCGAATGCTATGGTAATACACTGCAAAAGTATGCCGTGCACATCATAATGTCTGCAACATTTGATGGGGATCAAAATCTGAGTCCCGGGAAAGATAATTTCAATCCCGGTCGCTGGAGAAGACCCCTGTCAGGTGTATAGGGTTTGTGGATCATCATAATCAAAACGATAGTATTTACGATTCATTAACATCTTTCGAACACTTCATCTGGGTGATAATAATTTGAACTTTGGGATGGCACTGGGCATAGACTTTGTCCACCATAGGGTCGCCATTTTTGAAATAAGTATATAACTCCACAAGTGATCGTGTTTTTTCCAACCAGAAAGATGATACAAGAATATTGGAAGTTGGAACACTTCAATGCACCAGACATCTATGCTAGAGTTTTTTCAAAACTGTTTAGAACCGCAAGTCCTGCTGATATTAATATCAATGCCGTCTCTTTATGCCTCCAACGTCTCTAGATTGTTTTTTTTTTTTTTTTAATTTTTCTTTGTGAAGATTTTATAACAAGAATTTCTAGAAATGAAGCTAATATAATTGCAAAAGTTGTTTCTGAAGGCCAGTGGTCATTGAAAAATATCCCGAGAAATTCACGTCATCATCCAACAAAGCAGATTGCAATCTAAGGAAGCTCCGTACTCACGGCGCAATTACAAAAAGTGGCTGCACCAAAAACAATTGTTTTGAGTTAGAGAAATGAAGCATGACTTTAATTTCCCTTTTATTCACATGGAGGAGAATAAGAGGGAGAGTACCGTGTCTACACTGACTGGTTTACCATCCTCCGCAAGTATCTCAGTTATTGTTCCCGATTGATCAGCCTGGAGAGCAACGAAAGCGAGTAATTAAAGAATTGATTTTTTGAGTAAATAAATAGAGCTAATGCAGCTCACTGAGGCGGGGATCCAAAAGAACTAACAGGATAATACCTATTTATAATACATGGCAGGGTAAAGTAAAAGACGATAGATAAAAAAGATAAAATAATGAAACTAGCAATATAGTAAAAGAGACGAGTTTATGTACTTCAATTTCATTCATCAGTTTCATAGCCTCGATAATGCAAACGACCTGGCCTTTCTGCACTTTATCTCCCACCTAAAGCAACAAGAAAATAATAAAATCATTCTAGATTTCAGTGTAATAGACAAGATGCAGAACCGGATAAATACCCAGAAGTATGATTGACACATTGGCAGAGAAACAAGAACACTATTTATATAATCTATTTACTGATATACACCTTGACAAATGGTGGTTCACCAGGTGCAGGACTCCGATAAAATGTTCCAGCCATTGGACACTTGAATGGTGGAAGCAATGACGACGGGCTTGCTTTTCCAGGGGTGGGCGAGGAAGGTGCTGGTTTTGAAGATGGTGGGCCGGCAGGAGAAGCAGCAACAGCTGGAGCTGGTGGTGGCATAGAAGGGACTGCAGGGTAGGCCACTTGTGGTGGCGCAGGGGATAGAATTGGGGCTGGCGGGGGTTGCAGAGCTTCCTTTTTCCTTATCAGGAGTTCACAGTCAAACTGCTTAAGTTGCAGTTCCACGATATCTCTAGAATCCACAAGTCTGCACATGCAAACTATGTTAAGCTAAATTTTGGAGACAATACAAGTTCTAACATGTATTAGAAGGAAAATGGAGCATGAGTAATCGCATGCAAAGTGATGCTGCTTAGTCTTACTTTACAAGATCTGACACTTGAGTCATGAATGCAGCGACTGAAGATACATCTGCAATAGCACTTGGACCCGAGGGTTTCTCATTAGGCTCATCTTCCTCTTTCGATGTACCAACTCCAGATCCAGAGGCACGCACAGCTGCAGAATTTGAAGGAGCTTCAGCTGTAGTAGCCTATGATGTACAAATAAGGGTAATTTATGGTTAAGATACTTAATTATCATAATTGCGCGGCTGTTGTACAGAAGTTTCATGTACAAAGCAGAAATTGAGACAATTTCATGCAACGTAAGCTAACTGCAGACAGACCTCATTAACTTTTGCAAGTAATTTCCATCCTGAAAATCGCTTTCTGTTTAGGCACTGCAGAAGACAACAATAGCATAAAACAATTAATAACAGAAGAAATAGCTGAAATATGCAAAGTCTACGAATTATTTTTGTCATTCATAAGGAGAGAATCAGATCCTATCCTTAAAAAGATTTTCAGAGCTGAAACTACCAGTGCAATAACCTGAATGCTTACTAGTTGCAGCTGTTCCAGATCCAATAAATGCAATGAACATAAAGCATAAAGCAGTTTGTATTAAAAAGATGCGCTAGTCAATGCTGAAAACTGCGCATCAAAGTATACATATATAGATACGCACTTTCGGTCCACAACAGGTCCTGATTTAAATATGAATTAAATACCAAGCTTCGTGATATATATGCAAAGCATGTTTTTGCAAACATCGTCTTAACAAGAACATTGATTACCTCAAGCTGACTTGCAGCCAATTATCATACCTCGCTTCTAGTTTTGCGTAGTGAGAATGCATTTTATGTTCAGATAAACACATAAATAGATCATAATTACAATTAAAAGGTCAATTGAATGCTCCATTGGACGTAGATGGCTAAAATTATAAGAGTTGCATAACCTCTTGCAGACTCTCCAGGTTCCGAACGAAGCATTATGAATCGTAGTGACATATTTTCTGAAGGTTGTTCGTAAAATGTGAGACGTCCAAAGAAGGAAAAAGAAAATAAGGAGAAGCGCCAGGAATAAGAACTTTCCCTTTTAACCAAAAATTAAACAAGATGAATCAATAACCGCATGCTAGAGGAAGAAAGCGAGCATCCAAATTTCCAAAAAATTCAATCAAATTTGCATTCTAGTCCCTTCCATGCAGTATGTTCAAGATTAATTCGTATCAGTAGATAAACTCAACAAATCAATATCAATAATTCTTACTAAGAGCATAATTCATTCATATTCGAAGCACTTACGAACCTGAAACCCAGACGATGCAAGACCAGCTCGCGAAGATCCGGATGATAGAGCAGGTGTTAAGCTCAAGCCATTGTGAACGAGCAGCTTCTGCGAGTGCCGTTGAAGATTCAGTGAGTTGAAGCTCAAAGGAGCAGGAGAAGGACACTTGGGGCAAGGAACAGTGAAGGAAGCCATGGGAAGTAAACCTAGAAACCAAATGCAAGAATTTGCTTCTTCTGTGCTCAATTGGGGTTAGTTATAACCAACTAATGTAGAGAATGGGGACGTAGGCGGGTAAGAATATAAAGCCCGACGCGATAAGATCTATGAGGGTATGAGAAATCAGAGAAGGCTAAAAGGAAATGGAATGGAACGGATGGAGACTACGAAGGCACGGGACTCTGCTTTACACTAAACCCTCGATGATTCCAATGGAACCATCAACATCATCACCGTTTTACCGGATTTGGAACTCCCGACTTTTTTCATTTCTCGGGAGGATTTTCCCTCCTAACTCTTGCATATCGGGGTTTTCGCCTGAAAGATGAACGGTGCCACACTAACTGGGCATACCAATCCAACAAGTCCTGCTTACCCACACAATTAATATCGGCCCGTTTTGTGGCCTGTTTTTCCGGTGTTTATTTGTCCTTTGGTTTTTTTTTTGGTTGCTGTTTATTCTTTTTCCTCTCTTTTTTTTTTCCTGGGACTGAATTGTTTATTCTTTTTCTTGCTTAGTTATTTCCTGATTTACTAATTTAATTGTGCCTCTTCCCGCGCGAGTGAATCTCAATGTCCTGATAATAACCCAATAGTAACTTAAACTTAGTTTATTGTCATTCTGAATATTAATTACTTCTTATTTTATTCATATCATCAATATGTCACTCTCTATAAATATTTTATGTTTTGATATTGGTGAGGCATGTATATTAAATAATACTCCTCCGGTTCTTAATATAAGACCTATTTAACTAATTTGATTAGATTAAAGAAGTTAGGTAAATTAGTTAATTATAAGAAATGTAACACGTTTTTCCTAAATACCATAATTATCTTTCTTAATACCTCATTTCCCTCTTCTACTTAATTATGGTTGAGAGAGTATTCATAGGGGTAATTTAGAAAAAATTGATAAATATGATAAGTGGGTCTTATATTTAGAACCAAAACCAACTCAACAATTGGGTCCTATATTAAGGACCGGAGGAGTATTAATTTTATATTTTTATCAAAAAATTTAAAATCAGTAGATATATAATATAAATTCTTTTGGTTTTAGTGAAAGAGAATATAAATTACCATATTAGGGAAAGGGTGATAAATTTAGGCAGCGCTCCAAAACAACTATAAAGGAAAAATGTTGGGCTGATTAAGGTTAGAGAGTTTATTGGGCTGGAATATGTTGGATATCGAAGTCCAATGGACCAAATGCCAAACCGGGTCGTCATATCGTGATGTGTGAAGGCAAAACCCTAAATGGGATAATCCCGGTACACATAAAATATTGGGGACGCCTTCAAAAACCTAGAAAGAAGGGCGCGCATCGACGGGAGCTTCAGTAGCGCTTTTGGGCATTGGAGCAGCTTCTCGTTTGCCCTCTGTGATTTAGTCATGGCAACTGCAAGAACCGTGAAGGACGTTTCGCCGCATGAGTTCGTCAAGGCTTACTCCGCTCACCTCAAGCGCTCTGGCAAGGTATAATCAACTTAGTGCTCATCCCAATTTCGGTGTTCCTTTTAGATGGAGGAGAAATTTTCATTGTTGATGCAGTTTCTGGTCATTGCCTTTGTGCATGTTTTTTTTGGGGGGGGGGGAGGAAGGACAGAAAAACACTTTCCTATTTTGATACTATTAACAGCTGCTGTCTTTTCTAATCTCCCTAAATTTCTGGTTGTTAATAGTTGATCTCCATTTGACTATTGCCATTGGCACCTTTATCTTGTGTTGTTTGATTTCGCATGAAATTCGTCATTTGTGTAGCTTAGATTTTGTTAGATGTTTGGTTCATTCCTTATTCGTTTGTGGCGCGCTCGCACATTTATTCGTTGTTGTAATGACAGGACTAAGGATTAAGTTTCATAAACCCATAGAAAATACTATCCAGTGACCAGCGATTTTAAAAAATACTCCCTCTCTTCCTTATTATAAGAGACAAATAACCAAATTAGATTGATAAAAAAAACAGTTAAGATTAGTTGAGACAATTAATGTGTAAAAAGTATATTGTTTTTTTTCAACAATGCCCCCATTAATAAGGAGAGAGTATGAGAGAGAACAATTAAATTATTGAAAGAAAGAGAAGTGGGAGGAAGAGAGAGTATGAGTTGGAGACAAAATAAATAGGGGTAAAATAAGAAATCAATACAAAAAATAGAGACAACTTTTAATGTTTCTTATATATAGGAACATGTCATAAGTATCAAATGTCTCTTATAATAAGAACGGAGGGAGTAGTAGATATAGAAAACTGTAATTTACTAATATGAAATGCATGCCCATGAAGCAATAAAAGCGTAGAATTTTCGTTTTATGCATTTCACTCCTTTATAATGACATATATGGCTTCCAATGGTTCTTCCACAAAAAATTATGCCTTTTTTAGGGTGCTGACTGCTGGAGCTGCTTCTTCTCCTTAGTGGTTAATATTTATTATTTAATATTTAAATGCTGGCTCTTCTGGTAGCGCTGCTTCGTCACAATAAATTTTCTGTTTGCATGCTCAATTTAGTAATATTTCTGCATGGATTATTTTCGCTGCACGTTAACTGAGTTGTGGTTCACTTTCACGTGAAGATTATTTTTCTATTCTAATTATGATTTCTATCTGGCTGTTAATAGATGGAGCTTCCTGAGTGGACGGATTTAGTTAAAACTGCAAGATTTAAAGAACTTGCCCCATATGATCCTGACTGGTATTATGTTAGAGCTGGTGAGTTTGTTATCTCTAGGTGCAAATTGGTACTTGCGCTAGGATAATTTTTTTTACCTTGGGTAATGAAATTGAGTACATTGGTTCAGAGGGTTTCCCTGGGCTAGGACAGGTCTTATAGCTTATTGTTCACTTATTGCTCGTATCTATTTGTCGCTTCTAGCTCAATTTAGCGTTTAATTTTGGTTACAGCCTCCATGGCAAGAAAGATCTACTTGAGAGGCGGTCTTGGTGTCGGTGCCTTTCAAAGAATTTACGGTGGAAGCCAGAGGAATGGAAGCCGCCCCCCACATTTCTGCAAGAGCAGTGGAGCCATTGCCAGACACATTCTTCAGCAGTTGCAAGAGATGGACATTATTGAGTTTGATCCAAAAGGGTAAGTCATGTTCCACTGTTAAATTCCAAAAATGATGTTTGAACTTTTACTCTCTCATTTTCCATCTTCCAGTTGCACTTGGATATCCTCTCACTCTCACATAGACACAAACAACCTTATTAGGATGGTCTTCATCCCTCATAGTGTCATATATTCTGTTGATTGCTTCTTCTCTCTTTTGCTTTCATTATTCTTTGCCAATGGTTGTATTTTATTCATCGTTTCTGTGCTGCAGAGGTAGGAGAATCACTTCAAGTGGTCGAAGGGATCTTGACCAAGTTGCTGGGCGAATTGTGGCTGCTCCTTGAATTAGCAATCTATTAGCATTGCCCGCCCTTTTTTTAATTTTTTCCTGGTTCATTGAGATTTATAGATAATGTCAAGACATAATTTAACGCATTGAGCAGAGCAGTCTACTACTGGTTTTTTAATTAGTTCTCAAGGAACGTTCTTTTATGTTGTGAACGTGGAAGCCGTGTTGATGCTTGTTGCAGCAAAATTTCCTATATGTTCTCTTGGAACATTCCTTTTTTGTCTTATTGAAGAGAACTCTGAATTGACATACATCAGCCTCGCCCGTAAGTAATGATATGATGATATCTATGAAATGATTTGGGAACGTTGTACATATTGAGCTACGAGATGAAATCAGCCAATGGATTAACACGTATAGTTGAGCTTACTTGAGGCCAAGTGACCCATGCAAGTTATGTATTCAGATTTTGGGCGAGAGTCAGCTCAGACCTAATGATCTGGCTTTTTTAATGGCAGAAATTCGTATTTAGCGAAGAACTATGATTGTTTCTGAGGCCGAGGCTTGAAACGTCTGGAATGTGCATAAAAGGGAAGGGCATGGCAAGTTACCATGACATGGAACAAGTATATATGAACTTGTAATGTAATGGAAGGTGGTCTGGCATTAGCTGACGATTGACGAGGCAAGCCTTTCTATGTTTTGGGATAACATTGATAACCCAATTATTCTATTGACGTTTTAGGTAAGTTTGAGAACAATTTAATCAGGTGACCTTACGGGGGTAAAAAGCAATCTGACAAGGAATCAATTTGTGTGTCAACAACGTCGGGAGTTCTACAGTTTAAGATATCCCTATGAAATTTGCAAAATTTTGTGAATAATGTGATTCATTTTGGGGAAAATTCCAACACAAAATGATTGTTGAATTTTAAAATTTTAAATCAGTATTGGTGATTATACTTGTAAAGAAAAATGATTACACTTAAAAAATAAATGATAACACGTTTTTGTAATAATTTCATATTTGAAATTTTAAAATCCAACAATTATTTTTTTAGATTTTCCTATTTATTTTTATACTTCTGTTCAAATTTCAGCAATAAATTGTATATCCAATGGTTTCTTTTAAGGTGAAAAAATAACGAAATTAGCGCATACACACACACACACACAGATTCTTTATAATTTTCATATCAGTTGTATTATATATATATAAATTTAGAACATACGTGCGTGTAACTAAACAGTTTTGATGAGAGCATTTATTGAGCTTTTTTTCTTGGGGCATCTTGTTATAAAAAAAAGGGTCCATAATGCTTTATATACATATGTAAGTGCATTAAGAGTATAAACCTCGTAAAAATTATAGGTGCAACCAAATTAACTACTGTCTACATCTAATTCTAATCCTATCACAATTTACCAGAACTCCCAAATACAGAGTGGCAAACAACTTTCTCTCCAAACGAATGCATTTTCTGTTTCCAGCTTCACCAGCAATCAAATTTGTTGATGGAAGGACTAATAAATAATAATCACTCTATAAAACAATTTGTGAGGAAGAACTGTAACAACATCAAGCGGAGGCGGAGTCGCCCTTTCTCTTCCCATGACACTGTTATGGACCAATGGCCTAAAAATAAAATCTATAACTACATTAATGGCTTGCATACAAAAATCAATCAAAACTCCTCAGAGGGGCAAAAATGGAAGAGGGTTATTCACTTTACATTAATGGCCCTTTAATCTTGAAATGCAGGGGCTATTGTCATTCCATGATAAGTAGCATCTGATCTTTCTGATGCTGATTCTGAGGAGACTGAAACTTCGGTTCTCTAGGGATGGTTGGAGGTTTCCTTGACCTTTAGCGCACAAAATCAAGATATGAGAGGCACATTTTTTCAAAAACAGGAAAAAAAAACTGAAGGAAAAATAAACAACAAAAATAATCATTTAAGAGTAATCCAACAATTACCTCCTGGGTATAAAGGGTCTGTCAAAATAAGGCATTGGCTGTGCTCTGGGGATGAGTTCCTTTCTTCGCCTTCTGATTTCTTCTTCTTCTTCTAACTATAACACAAAAGGAAAGAAAAATTTTGAGCATCTATAGTGAGAAGAAAACAATGCACGCTTTGGCTGAGGAATCTATCACTATCATTATACACCTTCTGTTGCCTCTCCCTTTCCATCTTGAATTGCTCAATAAAGCTACACTTTTCTGCCACCTGCATGAGACATCCATCAAATTTTGTCTCTAATTTGCAATTTTCAACAATTGAAATAATTTCCATGATAAAAGCACCTGATGGTCAAACTCAGCACGATCAATCGCCCGTAGTTCAGTATGAAGCTTCAGGTCCACGGGCCTAGTGCTTTCTTTAATTACAGGCTTTACGAGGTTCTGAAAGAGCAGCAACGAATTAAATCCTTAGTTACAGCAAACATGTGACCAGATATATCTACAAACACGGGAGTTGTGAATGTTGGAATTTAAATGGTAAACACTCAAATTATAATTTACAGCAAACATCCACACCTCTGGTTCTTCCGTGGTCCATGGAAGACCCTGTGCAACGGGTATTCTCTGCTTCTCTTCTTCAATCATCTCGTCTTGTAACTTCTTCGTAAATTCTTCCTCTTTCAACTTTCCCCTTTGCTACAGTAGCAATTTACAGTTACCAAGTGTCACCATCCAAACTAAAAATGAATTGAAATTCATAATATCAATTCACGGTTCTAAACTACCTCTGTTCTCAGCTTGAATGGTTTCTGGCTTGTGGCCTTTACGTGTTTCTTCTTCCGCCTCCTTCCCCCAGAAGTGCATGACGATTCCAAGCTCTGAAAATAAAAAAATTCAAAGCAAACTCAATCACTTCATGTATCGTTATATTCAATCTGCTTCCGCGCTTGTAGCGGTAATTAACTAATCATATTTTGTGATCTTACATTCCTCCTACTCCTTTGACCCCCAGTAGAAGTCCTGCTCGATATACTGCAACCTCGGCAAAAATAACAAACATTAGAGAAAACTCAAAAATATGCTTATATATGCTTATTGGAATCGTATTTAGTTTTCTTCTTATTTTCACGAACCTTTCACGGATGCTATTATCATCACAAGAAGAAGAAAATGAAGTAGGTGGGTCCAAGCCGAGGCTTTCGGATGTGACAAACAAATCCGAAGGGTAGAATGATGAGGATGAAATCTCAGTTTCAGGTGCCTTCGGAGGAGGTTGCAATCCTGGCAATGCCCATTTCGTAGCTTTCTTCTGATCATCGTCTGCTAAATTATCCTCCGCCTCATCCTTCTCATCACCGTCCTTCGAACTCGGAATAGTCAGAAGCTTCTCGAATGCCTTCACCAGATGCATCACTCTCCCACAACCTCCTTCTGGGACACTCTTTCTCGCCTCTTCCATCAATTTGTCCCTCCGACGTTTCACTGTCGAACTGCCTACTTGATCAGGTGATTCTGTCTTGTTGGTCGTCAGGCCATCTTCACTAATTAGACGGCCTTGTATCGTCGTCAAAATCTCTGATTCGTCACTGGCCTTAGATTGATTTTGCTCATCTGCCTGGTTCTTTAAAAATTCTTCCTGGGATGCCCTCAAATTCGCGTAGGCCACACAAAGACACTTCTTTTTATGTTTGTCTTTGCACTTGCACGTCGCTAACGAACTGGAAACAACGTCGTCTTCTTTATTCGGATTGTTCTTTGCCGTCACAAATCTCCTTTGACGGATCTTGTTCTGAGGTAGACAGACACCTGAACTAGGATTCTTCGACGCCGATTTCAGAGACTTTGCAGACTTGGCAGTAACAGGGGACTTTAAGGTTTTCGAGCCAGGGCTACGACGAGATACATTGGGATTAAAATTCTCCAGAAGTTTTGAGCATTCCTGATTCTTTGATCGATACCCATATGATTCTTTCATCGGAGTCATGACTCCAGTGTTCTTGCAAGACATTTCCATCAGAAAATCAAGAATGCGCAGCCACTATTCTATGCCCGAGAAGGATTCTGAAGACCAAGGGTGTGATAGAGATCGAGAAAGAGTATGTCAAAGGAAGACTGTGTGCCTGTGTGATACTTTGATGATTTTCTGATTTTTTGGTCATCTATGATGATTTTGTGATTCGCATAGGAGGAAAAATAGCAACGTTGAGCGGGGGACGCTATTTGTAACGGCTATTTTTCGTGGGTCAGAAACTCAGATGATAAGCCGTTGGATTTTTCATTTAAGATTTTGCTTAGATTTTTTGGGCCGTTGGATTCGCTTTTCAGGTAAATGCGGCGATGATCTGATTTCTGCTCAACGACCGTTACAATCAGGACACACAACCTTCTGAACTCTGACTGTGCAAAAGTGGGCTTTTTGGGCCAAAAATGATTGCTTTTTTTGTTGCATGGTCACTTGACGAAGTCGGTGGCCCAATCTGCATATGGATCCTTGCTTTCATTTAATTTTTCTTAAAAATGCTAAAATTGAAATAATTTTTTTAAAATATATATGTTATATCCTATCTGTTTAGGTTAATACAAATTTTGGTCATCAAATCTACAGTTATTTTGGTTTTAGTCTTTTAAGTTTCAAATCATAGGTTTTGATCCATTAAATTTCTTTTTATTTAAAACATCGGTTCTTATAATCTAATAAAAACTTAAATCATTTTGTTTTTGAAAGACCAAAACCTGTGATTTGAAACTTGAAAAACTAAAACCAAAATTAGGGCAAACCTTATATTAATCCTATCAGTTTCCGTTTCCATAATTTTTGAACATGGGACTAGGAAGGGGCGTCTGGCGTACGTAAACAGAAGGGGTTGGGGGGAGCCATGCACGTAGAAAATATTCAAAACTCAACACCTACCAGCAAAATTTATACATAAAAGTTATATACTAAGACAGAAGTTAGAAAAATGAGCCCTGACCTATTATCACCTTCGGAAAAAAGAAAACTATCCGCGCACGAATTATCCAAAAATTTCAGTCAAAGGTTGAGTTTGGGGATTTAGTAATTTCATGTGGAAGAAAATGATGAGTCGGTTTCATAGTGGCTTGAAAATTTATTTCCCGGTAAATTATTTTTTTGGCCGATATTTCTTTGTAAATTCACTTTTTTTTAAAAAAAAAAATCTTTTGATCATTGATCATCTCTGCATGTGAAGAACTTTCTTGGGCTATCATTGCTATGAAAGGAAAACAGTATTTTTTTTTTCGTTGGCTTTAAAATTTTTTTTTTGAAAATCGTGAACTGCTCGATCTCTTTATAGCTTCAAATGCACTCTAAAAATTCCTAACCTCTCAAGCAAAGTCCATTCTTAGTTTACAAGTTTGCGAAGACTGCTTTTATGGAGAGCCTGTACAATGATGGTGCCTCCATCTTCACCTAAAAGCACATCTAAATCATGTTTCTACAAATCCTTCTCAATCACATTTTGATTTTTAATCTTCCATCATTCTTGCATTGATTTTTCTTTCTTAATAAGAGGGACAGATCTAGATTTCAGATCCACTCAGATCCCTTTTTCCCATTTTTTGGGTAATGAACTATAATCTCGTTCCTTTAGATTACCTGATCACGGTGATAATCCAACCATTTCTTATGGTTGCTTTTTTCTTTTTACAATAACATGCATGGCGTTGGAAACAAGTCACGTTATTAAAAAAAAAAAAAAACAAAACACACGCACCACAAGGACAAAAACGTGTAGACATCACTTGAAAGTATATTAAGAATCCACTGCCATTATTTCATATCTTTTAACAACAATTATTGTTAGTTTATCTCTCATTACAAAAGAGCTTGAATCTATTACTACCTTCGATCCTAATTATAAAACTTTATTTGTAAATTATAAATGAGGTTTTACAACTAAAACCGGGATAATATATTTTTCTTCAATAACACATCACCTTCATGAATTAAGTGCTGCCTAACCACAATCCTTTTTCTTTTATTTATTTAATTATAAAATCTAACCACTAATGCATATAATTCCATCCCATTTCATTACCTGTGGAATATATATTTTTACTTAGCCAAATAAATTTGAGGGGAGGATAATTTATTGCAAGGGTATATGCGAGCCAGAATTATTCCCATTCTCATAATACATGAGGAGGGAATGAAGGACAATAAAGACAAAGGAATTGAAGCTGACGCCCTGATTCGCAGAGGAAGAAGCGGTTCCTTGTGCGGCAAACGCGTGCGAAGCTGGATACCCCTCTCTGCCAGTCTCGCTCCCTGACTTTGACTTTATTTGTGAACGTGAACTGACTAATAAGCTAGTGGCATTTCAGTCATTTCACTTTACTTCTCAACTTTGCCCCTACCGTTCTCCCCCTGCCAAATGTGACCCTCCCCACCAACCGGAGCAGCGTTTTCACATGCCGTTGTCCTTTTTGGTAATTAGACGTCGACGCCCTCTGTCTGAGTTTGCATTGCTATATATTGCCTCTCTCCCGCTCTCCTTCTACAGGCCTCGTTCCTCTTTCTTTCTTTCTCTCCCTCTCTCTAGCTTCTGTGATCTCTGGCTTCTTTCCATTTCATAGTGATTCACTTCCAAAGGTAAAATTATGTCAGATTTCAGACTTCCATTTGCTGATTTGCTCCTTCTTGTGCGAGATTTTGTCAATTTTTCAATCACTGTTGACTCCAGTCTCTGTTGTTACGCTGGAACCAACCATTCTTGTTAAGTCTCGTTTCACCGGTTTATCTTATGATAATGGAATGTCTAGTCCTTTTAATCGACGGTTTTGGTTCTGATTTGTTTTATAGTCTGCGGATCCGTCGCTTCTTCTTACGTTGTTAGTTATTTCAGTTGTCCAATTCTATGCTTAATTCAATGCTGTGTGCATCAGCTTTTGTTGTTTGAATTTTCTTATGTGAAGCTCGTTGACAATGGATCTACTAGAATTCATGTTTGATTTATAGAGATCGCCAGCAATTCGTTTGTGATTGTCCAATTTGAGCTAGATCTACTAATATTGCGTTTGTAAGATTGATAGCGAGTGGTCAACCTATAGTCTTCCTGAAAGCTAATGATCAAAGTGTCAGCTTTTGCATTCATGTATTAGATCTGGTTTCTCCTTATCTCCTTTTATGGATACTGGAAGAAAATAAGTCGAATTCCTTTTATTTGCTAGAGTTACTTTTATTGGGTATAGATCTTGCACCGACCTTTAGATGATGACATGCACTGGTTTTCTATGTCGAGTCTAATACGTTTGACAACGTCATCTTAGTTTCCACCATGTTGGAACATAGTGACACTTGGTTGTGCTCACCAGTCGTCGAGTAGTGAGGCCGTATCAATCATGCTTGAACTAATCTTGAATCTCCAATCCAAGCAACACGCACGGAGACTACTTGAACTCATGCCTCAACGTATGTTTTTCAATTGTTATTGCTTAGTATAAGACTATGCGAGATAGGACGGAGTTTGCAGCTTGGTTCTATTTGGGAGGAAAATGTTTGCTTACGGAAATTTTGTACATATTTGTATTGTTCAATGGTATATTTATTATTATTGAATTTTGTAAGATGGGAATTATTAAGACTTGCTGCCTCTTTCATCATAATGAAAATAGCTGTATATTGCAATATATACCTTAGTATGCTGTGTTACTACCTCAAAGCAAATACTTCACGCGAAAGTTGTTCTTGTTGTACCATTGTGTTTTTACCCATCAATTTGAACCTGTTTTATTTAGGTTGTTAAAAGAAGAAAAATGGTGAAGATTTGCTGCATTGGTGCTGGCTATGTCGGGGGACCTACCATGGCTGTCATTGCACTTAAGTGCCCCTCCATTGAAGTGGCTGTTGTTGATATCTCTGTATCCCGTATTGCAGCCTGGAACAGCGACCAGCTTCCTATCTATGAGCCAGGCCTTGAAGATGTTGTAAAGCAATGCCGTGGCAAGAACCTCTTCTTCAGCACAGATGTAGAAAAACATGTCTGTGAAGCTAATATTGTGTTTGTCTCAGTTAACACACCAACCAAAACTAGGGGTCTTGGAGCTGGAAAAGCAGCAGACTTGACATACTGGGAGAGTGCTGCTCGCATGATTGCTGACGTCTCAAAGTCTGATAAAATTGTGGTTGAGAAATCTACAGTCCCAGTCAAAACTGCTGAGGCTATTGAGAAGATTCTTACCCACAATGGCAAGGGGATTAAATTCCAGATTCTATCTAACCCAGAATTCCTTGCTGAAGGAACTGCAATTCAAGATCTCTTCAAACCAGACCGTGTGCTCATTGGTGGTCGGGAGACTCCTGAAGGACAGAAAGCCATTCAAGCATTGAAGGATGTTTATGCTCAGTGGGTTCCTGAGGATCGAATCCTTACCACAAATCTTTGGTCTGCAGAGCTGTCTAAGCTTGCAGCTAATGCTTTCTTGGCCCAAAGAATTTCATCTGTCAATGCCATGTCCGCACTCTGTGAGGCCACTGGGGCAAATGTCAAACAGGTGTCCTTTGCTGTTGGTACGGACTCAAGGATTGGACCCAAGTTCCTCAATGCTAGTGTTGGCTTTGGTGGGTCCTGCTTCCAGAAAGACATCTTGAACCTTGTTTACATCTGTGAGTGCAATGGTCTTCCAGAGGTAGCAGAGTACTGGAAACAGGTGATTAAGATCAACGATTATCAGAAGAGCCGTTTTGTGAATCGTGTTGTTTCCTCAATGTTCAACACTGTTTCTAACAAGAAGATTGCCATTCTGGGATTTGCCTTCAAGAAAGACACTGGAGACACTCGTGAGACCCCGGCTATTGATGTTTGCAAGGGACTGCTAGGTGACAAAGCTCGCCTGAGCATATACGATCCACAAGTCACTGAAGAGCAAATCCAGAGGGATCTCACAATGAACAAGTTTGACTGGGACCATCCTATCCACTTGCAGCCCATGAGCCCCTCAACGGTGAAGCAAGTCAGTGTGGTTTGGGATGCCTATGCGGCAACAAAGGATGCACATGGTCTTTGCATTCTGACTGAGTGGGATGAGTTCAAGACTCTTGATTATCAGAAGATTTATGACAACATGCAGAAGCCAGCCTTTGTGTTCGATGGCAGAAACGTTGTGGATGGGGACAAGTTGCGTGAGATTGGCTTCATCGTTTACTCTATCGGTAAGCCACTGGACCCGTGGCTCAAGGACATGCCAGCAGTGGCCTGAAACAGATCATTTGATTAAGGGGACTGCGTTCCCCCTCAGTTTGATTCTTTATTATTTTCATAAGAGTTTTTCTTTTGGTCCTTTCTCTTTCCCTTTGTAGTCGGCACAAAATTGGTAAAAATTCAGGGAAAGTAAAAAGGCTCTATGTTTTGCCTTGCTTTTTGTAACCCATTTCACTATTACCTGGATGTTATGAATTTACTAGGGAAACTTGTTTTTGTTTGATAAATCTGCTATTATCTCGTTGTTTCAATTTTGAAAACTGCAAATTTACCCCCCGGGAAACCCGCTGTGCCCCCATCAATATGGAAGGAAAAATGAGGTTTGTGGCTTGAAATAATGTCGTGACACCATTTGCCTGGGCTCTCTTATCTGAGACTGACAGTCAGCGGGTATGAACATTCTTTTTCGTTTGATTAAATTAATGATCGAGATGTCGAAAGTTTGTTTCTTTGTTTTTTTTTTTAAAAAAAGGGAGCAGGCCCCCTTTGCAATATGCAAGTAGTTTGGAATTTTTTTTAATAGAGTTCCGCCCAAAAGAGATTAAAAAAAAAGGGGGTAGAATTACATTTTAAATATATAATGATTTGTTTAACCATTCAAAATCTGCATAGTTTGTTTGAGGGGAATAAAAAATGACACCTTAAACCATTCAATAAAAATGAATCAAGAAAAAAAAAGCCAACTTGTATAAAGTAGAATTATAATGTAATCATATATATTTTGAAACGGACAAGAAGGCTGACAATAACCAAAATAATCTTGGGACAATGGGTATAAAAGGAGACTTTCTTCCAGTTAAATTAATTAAAGTGTAATTAGATATTAATTCAACTCTTCAAAATCCAAGTTTATGCCGTAGTCAATGATCATTCTTGTTCATGCCACATGCTTTAAATCTATTGATCAAAATTTTATGCGATAATATATTATCTTAATTGAAACTTTTGTTGAAAATGAATTAACTTTTCCCGAAAATATCAACTTGAAATAAAAAGTAATATGTCAAACGTCAAATCATTATTTAACTTCTATGTGTTTGCCAGACTGCCTTGCATTGGTTTAGTGGGATGCTTAAATTGGTGGGGCGCTAAAACGGTTTGTTCCAGTCCTTTTGGGGTCATGAGGCAACGCTTCCTCAATTCTTGCTGCCACATTTTATGGTTACACTTTCTTCCTGAGATTCACAGTTTCTCAAATTCCTGAGGCACATCTAATCCGTTCAAAAATTGCATATATATTTTTTTGGGGTGTAAAGATAGAGAAAATTAATTATTTAGTCGGTGACGATGAACCCCCCCCCTCCTAGTCTTAAAAAATATGACGGGTCAAATACTCTTTCTGGACCATGGAAAAAGAAAACTCTGGCCAAGCCCATGTCCAAGGCAGTTGGATCAATTGCACCAGCTATGGCACCGTGCTGCTTTGATTGTCTTCTTTAATCAGGATTCTCCATTACTGGGCCTCCAGCTCTTTCACGTAAGGTCGACCTTGGTTCCATTTCAACGCAAACTGCTATTGTGCTATTCAATCTTCATCACGTAATCGGAAACAGTGCGCCTTCATCTTCTTTTCCTCTGCATCACTCTGTTCAATCCATGCTCAGCCTCCCTATGAAATTGAAAATCCAATGGACTACACCACTGTGCCTGAATTGCAGCCAAATCCAATGCCAGCACCCCTTTCTTCTTACCCACCTTCTGTAGCCGCTTATTTTCCCCCATCATACCCTCCCCATTACCAATTATACCTTCAAAACCCTAATCCTTCTTCTGCAGAGCCTCAATCTTCTATTGGAACTCAAGGATTTCATGGTGGCACCGGTGCTGAACCTGGGGCGAACCCTCCTGGTGTTGTTGCTTCCTATGCCCCCTTGACCTCCGATTCAGTTAACCATCTGACTCACGAAGCCCATGCTGATTACTCGTATGCTCACAACCCTATTGCAGATTCTAGCTCCGGATACTATTTTGGCCCAAATGCTCAGAATTGGGCTGCTACGGAGGCTGTTAGGCAGTTCGGGGTGGACCCGGCTGGCTATGGAGCAGTATGTTTATTCCTTTCTTTCTTCCTTTAAAGTTTCATGTCATGTTTATTGGGTGGTATGGCGTGAGATAGATTGAGTTGATTGATAATTAATGTCCTAAAAATTTGGAGGATGACTATACTGTTTGACGTTTTGATTTTAGATAAAGGGTAGATTAGAACATGGAAATAAGTCAATTTTTGGAATGGGATCAAATGCAACATGTTCAGGAATCCGAATATATTAAGCTATGTTCTGGTTTCAAGCTTAAATGGTGGAGCTTAAAACTATGTGAAGCAGCGTGTAATTATCTAACATTGATTGACAACACTTAAATATTTTTAAATTTGTTGGCTGAAGTATTCGGAACATACATTTCTAAAGCTCTATCTCTAATTGGTTATTAAGCTTCCTATCCTTGGTTTATGACATTTAGCAGTTGATATGTTTCCAATGATAAATAATTTCAAATTTGCTCTGTCCTTGATGGGATCTGGATTCCATGCGTGGTGAGGGGTCTGTGAGGAGGCCAAACGACGCTGTTTCTAAGCTATAATGCTGAAAAATGGCATTGTTTGTTCTCCTTGCACACCACTCACTGCACACTGGATCCATTTCCATCCTTGATGTGTGCCATGCAACTCATGTTCTTGTCTAAAATCTTAAAACCACTCCTTGAATTTAGGAAGGTAGATTAATAGGAGAATCTTGAGGATAACAAAGGTTCATTCAAATAAGTTTGTAATTTGCTGAGCTATTTTGATTTTGGAATTTGTGCACCACTTAAGCAAATTCCTAATTGTTTCTCCCCGATAGTAGAAGCTAAGGAAAAAAAATGTCTTCCATTTAAATTTTTGTCATTTTGAACTGAGCTTCTACTCAAAAATTTAAAAACTAAAAATTGTTTGCCCATTTGGATATATGGAGCTGCACTGCTTTGATTTTATCTGTCTCTTCTTTGATAACAGTAATCTTTTGACATATTTTTAAGATTTAAACTTCTAGCTAAGACTATAATTCAGACAATTCATTCATCAGTAACGCACGTGTTTTTCCTGTTTCCCGGTTCCTGTATTTCATAATTTCATCTCAATGAGTGCTTCATTTGTTTTGGCCATAACGAAAATGCATGAACATGTCATAAGTTTGTCACCTTGGCAAGATGGATCGAAGAATCCAATGATGTTTTTTGTAAATGTTGAGTACATTTTATTTTTCTTAATTTTTTTTAACTTATGCAATGATTGATTGAGGCAGGAAAATTTGTGTGCTACTATTTTTTTCAGAGGGGATTGAAACTTGGTTTACTGAAGTACCCTTTGGAAATTCAATGCGTTGATTTGCTTCTGTTAGAACTCTGCAGTAGAAAGGAACGGAATGATGATTGTCCCTCTCTCATCTCTTCTTTTGTTGCATTGTGTATTATTATGAGTAGGCTATCCCCGTGGCTTCAACTGGGTCGGAGCAATTGGCTGCTGCAAATACTAACTCTGTTTGGTGGGCTAACACCACGACCCAGCCTCATGGAAATGGAGCATGGAAGAAACACCCGAAGAAACCAAAAACTAAGGTTGTCCAATCTGCATATTGTGAAGTTTGCAAGGTAGATTGTACCAGCAAAGATGTTCTGGACCAGCATAAGTTAGGAAAGAAGCACAAGAAGAACTTGGAGAAATTAAAAGAAGCATTAAGAGTGCCACAAGTTCCTGTTCCACCCGCGGTGCCACCTAATCCTGTGATAGGACCTCAACCGGAGGGAGACAAAAGCAAATCTGGTGGTAAGAGTAAGAGTAAAAGGAAAGCGATTGAAACACCAGAAGATTTGGAGAAAAAGAAAAAGAAGGTTCTTGAAGGTGGGGCAGCCGCAGAAGCAGTTAAAATATGTACGATTTGTAATGTGGTCTGTAATAGCGAGACGGTATTTAATTATCACCTTGCAGGGCAAAAGCATGCTGCTGTGATGAAGAAACAAGCTTCTTTGCAAAAATAAATAAATGCGAGCTGATTACAATTTTGAGTTACATTGTCTAGCTCTTGATCGAGCAAAATCCAACTTCGCTTATCTCATCGTAGTTTCATATGAAAAGAGTTGAAGAGAGACGCCTTAAATGGTAGCCAGCACATCATGCCTTTGGTTGTTCCGAGCATGAAGAAGGAGAACTAATATAGTGCCACAGGGTTTTAAGACTCTTTTTTTGTTCTTTTGATGAGGACTAGCTTTCATACAATTGTCCTAATTTCATGTCCCTAATAAAAATTTTTACGTGAAGATCTATTAATGCAGCGCGGGGACGCTTAGTTTTGCACCTAAAAAATTTGGATGCACTTTCAGTGGGGTTTCTGGTGCATAATCATTATTATTTATTGATGCATTAATGAATTTCCACACTCTCTGGTCATGCATGGGATGCCCATAGTAGTTGTCAGTTGACAATGAAATCCATTGCAAACTTTTATTCTGGGTTCACGAGACATCTTCAACCAAAAATTTATTCAACATTTTATAATAAATGGCATTATTTATTTATAGTCCAACTAATAGTCTAATAGCATATCTCAGCACCCTTATGCTTTAAAATGTTTCCAGTTTTAAGTAAAACTAAACAGTAAAACACGACTTACATAATGATATCCTGCCACATGAAGATCTCTATAGACTATGCTCATCATATGGATTGACACACTTTGGAGCAAAATTCATGATATATTTTATTTCTTTAACGATCATCTGCAGCCAATACAAGGAACTTTATTTTTGCTCCGGTGCCACACAGAAACGAGTAAAAGAAGGATGCAAGCTTATTCGCGCCAAAACCATAGCCGTAGATTGTTCAAGTGCTGCTACTCTTGAGTCTTCCCAAAGCTTTTATTTATTTTCAGGGGAAATCTGATAAAGCGAAAGCGGTGGTCATCAGGGCCATGACAGGCGCCCCCATATTTCTGGTGCAATGTATGAAGGCATCCAACTTCTAAGGTAATGGGACTGGATCAATGTTCCATATATCTCGGGCGTATTCGTGAATCGTGCGGTCACTGCTAAACTTGTGCGAGCCTGCTGTATTCAATATTGACATTCGCGTCCATGTCTGCACCCACAAGATTCAGGTGTTAACGCCACATATTCACATGAAATAACAGTATAACGTGGTACTTGATAATTCCTAAGAAAAGCTTGACTCATGGAGGTCCAAATCTGGGCAAGATATCATCCGTGCCTCATGAGTAACTACCCTGGCTGATCTAATGTCTAGAGAAGTAGAATGGGCTATGCCTATGGAATACCAAATATAATCAATTGATGTCTGGGTTGCACGAAAAGTTGAAAACATATAAATGAAAACACAAAAATATAATTTGGCTGTGTAGTGAACAACCATGGGATTTGGTCACGCTCCCATGAATCATGAGTATCTCATGAACTCCAGAGTCTAGCATAGTCGCAATAACAGCGAAGTTTATTAGCACATGAACTGAAAAAATGCACGAACTCACTCTTTGATCTCGATATGCCTCATCGACTTTTTCTTGGCATTCTATGTAGCTGGGGAAGTCCTTTCCCACGAGGAAATAATCGGCACGGCCAAACCCTTCATTTCCTTCTAATGATCCCATCAATTCATCATAGTTGTAAGGCCCAAAAGCACCACTTCTGACAAAGTCTTTAACTTCTTCAAATCTTGGATCAGGCACAAACTACATCAAAAGGCCAATTAGGTTATTAAGGAAACAACACACTTTCAGGATTTCACCAATATAAAATTATGTACAGAACCTTTGATCAGAATTTTCTATTTTGAAATCTGGCAATGACTCAAATCAAATTTTAAAAAATTTTAGGGATGAGCGTGTTTGTTCCAAACATGATGGCATCAAGAATATCAACAATCCAAAGTACAATGGCTTGCCTGGGAGGCATCGGATAAGTAACAGTATAAGACTAACCTTTCCCTCAGCTCTTTCTTTCCGAAGCCCAGCAATTTCATGAGCCTTGGCACCAAAGAGGAAGAAGTTGTCTGCTCCAACCTCTTCCCTTATTTCAACATTGGCCCCGTCCAATGTTCCAATCAGTAAGCAGCCATTCATGGCAAATTTCATGTTGCTTGTTCCACTGGCCTCCATTCCAGCAGTACTATTGATGGAGGTAAACAGGAAAGACAAGATTAGACACAGTGACTAGGCATCAAAGTAATACCAATATTAACTATTATGTCCCACCATTTGGATTGCTTCTACAGCTCCCTTAATAGATTCACAGAACATAATTTGATGCTAATATATATATATATTGTCCTAGTATCCAAGAATAGTTTGACTCGCAAAAATCAATGTGATTCTAGTACATATTGTCCCAGTATACCAAGGATCGTTTCTCTGAAGTTATTATAACAAACTTTGCAGCAACGTGCAATTCATGAATTCTCTGATTCGTAAGGTTGGGAGGATCGAATGCATTTTCAAAAGGCACATATCTTAACTCTTGCATATCTTGTGGTGTGAGATTTATATGCAGCTCCTCCTCAGTACTCTGCGTATGAGTTTTACGAGGGGGTCACTTTATATGATATGAAAAGAGATCGACCAGCTCTACCACATGTATTAGCTTTAGAGGCGTTTTTTATTTGGGTAGCTATTTCGTGTTTGAGGATGTCCTATCCTACAAGCTGTACTTTCTTCCCTCTATCAACATTATTCCTTTTATATATCATTAACGAAAAGTGCCTATCAGCTTATGCTTCGGAGACAACACAACCATTCCAAGCTTTAAGCTGGGATCTATAAAAATGGCACACACCGGTAATCCTAACCATGAATTCAATTAGGAAGCCCACACAGTTACCATGTGGAATGGGGGTTATAATCAAAGTTGAACATGGGATTATTGATCAATGCCTAGAATAATTCACTGTATAAGTCTCAATCTGCCATTGAACTTAGTAAAAGTTAGATATACAGCCTTATGCTCTACAAAAATGTCTCTACCTCTGTCATCATATCTGGGGATGCCTGCATTAATTGTACCAATAAACTAAATCTGAATCGATAGTGCTGGCAGCCTTTACTTACCGAGACTAGTAGATTGGTCATATTGGGTCCTAATACAATATTCCTTCTGGTCCTATTTTTGAGACTGATCATTTGTTCTGGTCCTGTTTATAAGACTGCTCATTTGTTCTTGATACAAGACCCTTTAAAAAAAACTTAATGAAACATTTAGAACTCATTTTCAAGAATGCCTTTATTTCTTTTACTCCTTGCATAATTAATGGCTTTCCCATCATCTCTCCATACCCCCCCCCCCAAATGAACTACGCCAATCAAAGGATGATTATGGAAAGTTGTAAAATTGTTTGACATTTAATTAATTTTAACTAGTTTCCTTAAATTTTAGGAAAGTAGTTAATAGTCTTCTAAAAATAACCGAAAGGAGTAGTACTGTAAGCAACCACCAAAAGAATTGAATTTATATACATATATAAAACCAACTGTAGCACGTAAAACTACCTGATATGTTGTGACAATTCACTTGCAGGAATAAGGATCTCAGCAACACTGACGTTGTAATCAGGGACAAAAACAACCTGAACAATCACGAACAAATGAAGGATATAATATTTTGTGCTGCCTATCTGCAGAAAATGACTAAACAAAGCATGATGTAAAGTAATTATAATATTTATGAATAAAAATATTCCACTTCAAATAGGATCTTGATTAACTCCATCCGTAAAATTTAGATTGAGGTCCATAATCATTTAAAAGAATTATACTATACATCAAGTCAAAAGAAAAATGTGACTTGTCCCGGGGAGGAAGCTGTTACGAAAGGTAAGAGGGGAAGGACTAGTGTTCAAGTTCAAGATAAAGGCACTTGGAACTGCATAAGCAAAAAAGAAACTTGTGTACTGGCATGAATACACAGTTCATGAAATGTTTTGAGGCTAGGATCTGGAACTCATTCACACTCAGTAGCAGGCTTAAACAATCAGTCAAATGATGAACTAAAAAGCTCGAGAACCATTCACCCAGTAGCAGGTTAACAAGTCAATGTTAAATGGAAAAAATGTTGAACGATACGAAAACCCAAAAAGAACTCTCAAAAAAGAAAGTCATTTTTACCTTAAGCAGATCTCCGATCTCAGGATCATGATTTATTGTAGCCCCGACGTCTGTGATAAACTTCACAATCCTCTTGGCCTGCACATATGTAGCAAATGCCTTTCCCCCAAAGATACAAACTCGTGGAACAAATTTTGCATTTCTTTCTTTAGCACTCATTTCTTTCATCATCTTGTAGCGGTAAACAATTCCCAAAATGTTCAACAACTGCCGTTTATATTCATGGATTCTCTTTACCTAAATAAATCCATTCAGTTGGACAGAAGCCACAATTATGTTAAAACACTTGGTAATGAATTACTTGTACACTCAGCATATGGCATTATTCAAACCCATTGATCCACACAGCTGACAAAACTTCAAAGGGCTACCAAAGATTTTAGCTGTAACATTTCAGATATAGATAATTGCGATGCACCTTTTAAATCCTTTACTTCCTGATTGAGGTTTTACACTATGTTTAAAACTTAAAGCCCAATCAAAAGTGGATGAGCAAGAAAGGAAAAATTTAAGATAGCACCAGACCTGGATGTCAAACATTGCATCAGGACTGACAGAATACCCTGTTTTCTCTTTGAGAAATTCAACAACCTTCATCTTGTTAATCCTCTTTGCTTCCCTCCACTGGATCTGCATATCCTCATTTTCTGCAAACTAAATAAATGGCACTAATCTGCTCAGCATGAATTAATGACACAATCATAAGATTCATAACTATAACAATGAGAAAAATTAAATAATGGTGATTACCTTTCGTAGTTCAGCCAAGTTTTCAGTATTCAAGACCCAATCTTCTGCACCTAACCACCCAGTTATTATTTTACTCAAATTTGGATTGCAAAACCTGATCCATCTTCTTGGTGTTACGCCATTGGTCTTGTTTTGGAATTTCTCAGGCCACAAC